CTCCTGCTCCTCCTCCTCCTCCTCCTCCTCCTCCTCCTCCTCCTCCTCCTCCTCCTCCTCGTCCTCCACCTCCTCCTCCTCCTCCTCCTCCTCCTCCTCCTCCTTCTCCTCCTCCTCCCCACCTTCATCCTGATATGCAACGCCAACCTCCCCGAAATGCTCCCTGAGGGGTTTCCACAACGGCTGGGGAACATGTGGTCCGTTAGCTTGGCAGAGCTCTTGCCACAACGCTCGGCCACATGGGCGATTCCAACAGTCAGGGAACGGCGGTGATTCGACGCAGGCGTCTTAGATCCGCCGCCCCCTGTGGTCTTGTGCCACAGGGTTGGGTGCACGGCGTGCAACTCGTCTGGCAAATTGTTCGTTCTTTTCTCAACAAGCTCCCCGTGGGGTCTTGACCCAGCCCGCCAGCCACCCGCAAAGCTCCTGGCGACCCGCTACCTGTCGGCTTGTTCGATGAAGATGGCCTCAAGATGACCTCAAAGACGGCCAGGATGGCCTCCCAGACAGCCAAGATGGCCCCAACAGAGCCCAAGACAACGCCACGATGTCTTCAAGACGGCCGGAGGTGCACCTAAGACTGCCTAAGATGGCCTCGAATGGCCCAAGACTGCCCAAGAGGTTCCAAAGAGGCGTCCAAGAGGTCCTCCAGGAATGCCGCAAGGGGCCAAAGTCCTTAGGTTTTTGAAGGATCCTGGCATTTGTTTCCAAGCAGCAGTTCGACGGCCCAAGGCGGCCCCCAATATTGCCCCAAGATAGCCCAGGAGGTCTCCAAAGGACGGCCAAATAGGCTGCCAAGACGACCCCCAAAGGGTCCTAAGACGGCCCCAAGAAGCCTTCAAGACGCCAGAGATGGCCTTCAAGACGACCCTGAAGCGCCCCAAGACTGCCCCAAGACGGCCCAAAGAGGCCCCCCAAGAAGGCTTCCGACGGCGTCAGACGGGCCAGGAAGGCCGTAAGAAGCCCAAAGAGGCCCCCACGAAGCCCCCAAAGGCCCCAAGGAGGCCCAAGGAGGCCCGCATGAGGCCTCCAAGAAGCCCCCAGGAAGCTGCGAGGAGGCCCCAAAATGCCCCAAGAAGCTCCCAAAAGGTCTTCCCATCCTTCTCCTCATCTGCCTGTTTCACACTCTCCTCATCCTCCTCTTCCTCCCCCACATGTTCCCCGAAGTACTTCCACACCGGGTTTGGGAACGCATGCCCCAACAGCGTGGCCAAACTTAGTCAAAACATGTTGGCCACATAGGCGTATCCTGAAAGGAAGGGGGCGGCGGTGATTCGCCGCATGCGTCGTGGACCCACCGCCCCCTGTGGATTTATCACAGGGGCTACTGGCGTGCTGGACGTCAGTTAAATGTAGGTTCTTTTGAACGGTTCGCACTGGACTTTCGGCCTAACGAGCCAGACACCCGGAAGGCCGAGAACAAAACACATCTCGTTGCCAAAATTGCTCCCAAGACGGTCGACATGGCATTCAATGGCCTCCAGGATGCCTCCAAGACGGACAAGGTGGCTCAAGATCTCCGAGAAGGTCCCACGACGCCTCCAAGACAGCCAAGATGGCCCCAAGAAGGCCCAAGAGGTCCTCCAGACTGCCCAAGAGGCCCCCAAGACGCCCCACGAAGGCTCCAAGAGGACCCCTTGGACCCACGACTGCCCAGAGGATGCAAGATGACATTCGAAGGCCAAGAGGTCCTTTACAGGCCCCCCAGGGGCCCCCAAGAGGCCCCAGAAGACCCCCAAGATGTCCCAGGAAGCCCGCCACAAGCCCCTTCGCCAGGAGGCCTCCAGAGGCCCCAAGAAGGGTTCGAGAGGCCATTATTTCTGTTTCTTAGTATTACTATTCTTATTACTATGCTTCTTCTGCTTCTGGTTACTCTTTTTTATGTTTATTATTATGACTGTTATTATGATAATAACAACAATTAGTATTATTAGTCGTAGTAGTTTTGTTATTGTTATTCTTATTATTACTAGTGTTCCTCCTGTTCCCCCTCCTCATTTCTCTTCCTTTTCCCCGTGTTCTCCCAAGGGGATCCACAAGGACTAGGGGAATCAGTAGTCCAACTGCTTGTCCAGAGTTCGGTCAACATGTGTCGCATGGGCGTATTGTTTTAAAGGCAGGGGGCAGCGGTAGTTCGCCGTAGGCGTCGTCTATCCGCCGCCCCCTGTTGGCTTGCCATAGGGGTGCACGGCGTGCCAGACGTTAGGTAGTGGTTGGTTCAAACATGTTTTGAATTCCCAAATGCCTTCGGCCTAACCCGCCGGCCATCCGGAAGGACCCGCAAGGATGCCTGAGGAGGGGAAATCCAGAAACTCGCTTCCACCATCCTCAAGAGAGCTCCAGATGGCACCAATGTGTCTCCAAGACGCCCCGCGATGCACCCATGTGTCTCCAAGACGGCCCCAAGATGGGCTCCAAAACGCCCCATAAGGACCCGTGGACTTCCCATGTCATCGGCCTCCCCGCTCCAGAGAGCCAAGATGGCTGAAGATGGCCTCCCAGATGCCTCCAAAATGTCTAAGACGGCCCCAAGAGAGCCCAAGATCGCCACGAGATGTCTCCACAGGGGTGCACGGCGTGCCACATGTTTTGTTGTTGTTGCTGTCCTTGTTAGAGCTTCACAAAGGCATTTGGCCTCATGCGCCGGTCACTCGGATCGGGCCGAGCTGCCCCCAAGATGGCCCAAGATGGCCTCATGATCGCCAATGACGGCCCAATAGGCCTTCAAGACGGCCCAAGAGGCCTCCGAAAGATGACCTCCAGGACGGCCCTCAGAGGCCAAAATCACAAATGTTCTGAAAGCTGTTGAATGATTCTGGCAAGCGCCCATGTTCGGCTTTCGGACGGCCCAAGACGACCTCAGAGGCTACCAAGATGGCCGGAAGAGCGCCAAATAGGCATCCGAGATGGTCCCCTGACGGCCCAAGAGGCCCCCAAGACGGCCCCAAGACGGCCCGGGAGACCTCCAAGACGCACAATATAGCCTTCAAGCCATCCCTGAAGCGCCCAAAGAGGGCCCCAAATCGACCCAGAGAGGCCCCCAAGACGGCTTCCGACGGCGTCAGGCGGTCCAGAAACGCCCTCAGACGGCCCAACAGCATCCCAAGGAGCCTCCAGGAGGCCCAGGGAACCCACCATGAGGAAACCCACCATGAGGCATCCTAGATGGCTCCTCGGAAGCTCCCCGGAGGCCTAAAATGTGCCCCGAGAGGCACCAGGAGGCCTCCTCCTCCTCCTCCTCCTCCTCCTCCTCCTCCTCCTCCTCCTCCTTATGCTCCCGCTCCTCCACTTCTCCTTTCTGCCCAGCGTGTACCTGGACGAGTTCCCACAAGGACCGACGGAAACACATCGTCCGATAGCCTGGACGAGCTTGGGCCGCAGCGTTCGGCAACACAGGCGCTTCCAACAGGCAAAAGGCGACGGTGATTCGCCGTAAGCGTCTTCGATCTGATTTCAAAACAACAGGCCCTGGATGCACGGAAATTCGGGGCCTGTGTGCTCACGTGCTCGCGCGACTCTGTCGGAGGCATCGGGGGCGTGGCTGGAATTCCACACTGAAGGTGGCTTGAGATGGTCCCAGAGGGTCCGAGCCATAGCCGTCTTGAGGGTAGCTGGGGTTGTCTTAGACTCCCTGCGGGCTAGCCGAGGAGGCCAACATCTTAGCACATTGCTGATGCGTTCAGTCTGAGAACGTCCAGGACGGCCCAAGAGAAAACCAATATCGACCCAGAACGACCCTCGAGGCCCCAAGACGGCCGAAAGAGGGGGACAAGAACTGACAGTTCGAGTCCTTTCCCCAAAGATAGCCCCAGAGACCGTCGTCCCCCGAGCGGAGCCGCCGAAACAGCGCAGCCCATGGTCGGGCCGAGGGAACAAATACCCCTTTCTGGCACGCGCGACGCGCGGTACTGTAGTACTACAGATAGACTTGTGTGTGCCTTCGTGCGGAATGCATCAGCATCTTGCGTTCGGCAGAGGCACGTCACACGGGTGCCAATGACTCAGGGCAGCGACAAAGCTGTTTGGGGATATCCTGGCGCGGTCTTTAGTCGTCCTCGAACAATGGCAATGTTGGGCGATCTCCGGGCGGCGTCGGCAATCTTGGGGGCTCTTGTGGGCCTCCTGGGCCCTCCTGGATGCGCCTGGAGCCGTCTGTGCGCCATTTTGGATTGAAGGGTAGAGGATGTTGCACCCAGAATTTGAACGACCCACGACCTGCAAGGAGCTGCCCTTTGGGCCTCTTCGGTCTAAGTCAGCGCAATGTTTGGCCGTCCTGAGGCGTCTTAGCCCGTCTTTGACTCGTCATGGAAGCTGCCGTTTCAAACCTGTTGCCTATTCAACCGTCTGAACTCATCTGAAGACGCAGAGGCCTCCGACACAGGCAAAGGGGGGCATTCCCGCCAAGAGGCTTCCTCTCACGCGCTGGTCCTGGCAGTGTAGAAAAGACGGCATTGGGCATCGGGTTTCAATTTCGCCTTTCACATCTGGCCTCGGCAGCGCAAGGAGCCGCAACCACTGCTCGCCCTTCTCGCGCGCGCTTGCTCCAGCGCGTGATCCAAGCACAATGGGGCCTCGATCTCGCTGAGCAGCGACAGAGCCTGCTGGCAATGATCGTCTGCCTCACACGCGCTATCCCAACGTGGTGATCGGACTTGGAGGGGCCGGGGAAAGCAACGAATATCGCTCTTGCTACCGCTCACCCTTCGACCGCGCTTCCCAGGAGAGCTCCCCGGCTCGGAGTGGAGGAAAAGCCACCCCCCTGGGTCAATACACGCAGCTTTCTCGCAAGCGATGTGTCCACTGACTTGGGACTTGGCACTGGGCTTGGGACTCTTCTCGTGCGCGGTGATGCCACACAGCGGATGGCATCGGCTCCTACGCCGTGCTGGGAAGCATCGAATCCCGCAGACTCCTCGCCTCTCTCGCACGCAGTGGCTCCAGCGTCGCAGCCGAGCTCCAGAGCGCCCCGCAGAGCTCGTAGAGACTGCTCATGCCGCCGTCTACGCAGAGACCCGGAGAGCTCCCCTGCTCGGGCCAGAGGACAGCCGTCCCAAAGGGTCGAGACAGGTGGCCTCTGCGGTCACGCTGATCCCGTCGCTGTGGCTGGTCACGCTGGGAAATTCGCTGCCTTCGCTGCCGACCTGCCTCGCACACAGCGAGCCTGGCATTCTCGCACTGACTGCATCATTCCGCTCCAGTGGGTCCGCACACATCCCTTGACATCGGCTGTACCAGCTTCTTTTGTCCACCTTGCTCGCAAGTGCTGGTTACAAGTCCAAAGACGACCAAGTGCGGGTACAACCTCGTCCAGATCCAGCGCATTGAAAAATCAAGACGGAAGTTTTTCGCAAATTTCGGCCCCTATAGGGGTCCTCGCCAACTCAAGATGAAAGACCAATTCTGGGGAATGGGCCAAGACTTCCGCGGACCGCGCATTGAAACCCCCCGCCCCACCGGATCTCTGGGACCCCCCCCCGCCCCACCGGGCAGACACTTCCCCGACTGCATCGCCCCTACTCCGGGGGGGGAGTCCATGACGGCCGAGGAGGCCCCCAAGGGGGTCCAAGATGGCCCCGAGTCGCCGAACGACCGTTCGAACACGCCCAAGATGGTCCCCAAGAGGCCTCCCAAGAGGCAACAAAAAATCGATGTCATCGGTTTTTGAAGGATTGTGGCTTTCTCGCCTTTTCGGCTTCCCGATGCTCCAAGACGGCACAAGAGGCCTCCAAGACCACCCCAAAATAGCCTAAGAGGCCTTCAAGAGGGCCCCAAGACGGCCGAAGAGCGCCCCAAGACGGCCCAAGAGGCGCCCAAGACTGCCCAGGAGGGCCCCGAAACGGGCCCAAGAGAGGGAACACGATCCCCAAATCCGAGCATTCCGCCCAAAGAGGCCCCCAGGAGGCCCCAAGAGGCCCCAAGAGGACCCCAATAGGCCCCCGAGAGGCCCCGAGAGGCCCCAACGAGGCCCAAAAGAGGCTCAAAAGATGCTCCAAAACAGCCCCCAAGAGGCTTCGAGCTGTCTCCACGAGGCCCCCGAGAGGCCTCCCACGAGATCCGAATGGACATCCAATGGGCGGGACTTGCCGTAGGCAGCTTGATAGTAAGGGGAATCCGTGCCCATGTTGCTGTTTAGTTTCTGGTGCCCTTGGGCGGCACAGACGTCTCCCCTGGGCCCCTTGGGCTGTGCATTTGGTGAGTTTTTGAATTTGAAGCTTGTGAGGCCCTCCGCCTCCAGGCCCCGAGCGCAGCGCCCCCCACAGCGAGCCCCATAGGTTTCGAAGACGCCCCGAAAGTTCCCCAGAAGCACTCCCAGCAGGTCCAGTGAAGAGGTCGGCGCCGCCACAACACACTGGCAATGTCGTACGGTCGACCGTGCACGGGAGCTGAATAGTGCACCTGCGGGTCAGAGAATGGACACGCAGTGCGCGGCGTACTTTCAGCGCCGTCTCCGCGCGCCTCTGCGACAGCAGTGCGTTGGGGACCGCTCCCAGGAGGCCGCTGGTGACTTTTCGCCTCAGCTGGGCGGCAGCGGCGAAGGGTGCTCTGGAGCTGCGAGGCACTGGTAAGAGGAACCCGCGGCCATGTTGCTGTGCATGTTCCCGCGCCTCTGGGCGGCACAGGCGTCTCCTGGGTGTTCTTTGGGGGGCCTTCTCTGATTTCTGACGCCTGATCACACTGTGAGACCCCCTGCCTCCAGTCACCGCTCGTTCTTGGGAGCCTTGGCGTGCAGAACTTTGAGCGTCATCCAGGCACTCTCGGAACCCTCTTCGGAGCGCTCAGCATGCCTATCCCGTGCCTCCGAAGGCTCTCTTGAGCTATTTGGGGTCCCCCTCGTGCCATCTTGGGGGCCTCTGGGGCCGTCTGTGGGCCATGTCATGCGTCCTGGTCCGTCTTGGAGCTCTCTGTGAGCCAACTTGGGCAGCTCTTGGCGCCCTTTCGGAGTCTTCTCGGGGCTTCCTGCGCCGTCTTCGGGCACGCTTGGGCCGTCTTGGGGTTCTTTGGTGGCCGTCTCGGGGCACTCTTGGGCCATCATGAGGCCATCTTCGGCGCCTCTTCGATCGCTTTGGGGCGGTAAGGGGAATAAGAGCCCATTTTGCTATACAGCATTCCAGCGCCCTTCTGGCGGCACAGACGACTCCCCTGGACCGTCCTGGGTGTTCTTTGGGGGTTTTCGAGTTTTGAAGCCTGTGAGGCCCTCTGCCTCCAGTCACCATTCGTTCTTGGGAGCCTTGGCGTACAGAACTCTGAACGTCATCCGACCCTTTTGGGGGCAATCTTCGGAGCCTCCAGCATGCCTATCCCGTGCCTCTGAAGGCTCTCTTGGGCTATTTGGGGTCCCCCTCATGCCATATTTCTGGGAACAAAGGCTGACATAAGCATAAAACCTCGGAGCTCCGCGCGGATTTCTCGGATACTGGCGGCGCCTCCGGCACCGCCCCTGGCGCGCTCCGCGCGCCGGGGAGGGGGTCCAGCGCGGATCCGAGAAATCTGCACGGACCTCCGAATCCTTACGCTTATGTCATTCTTCGTTCCCCTTCTGTTGTGAGGGCCTCTCCGGCCGTCTGGGGGTCAGGTCGTGCGTCCTGGGCCGTCTCGGAGCTCTCCATGATCCCTCGTGGGCAGCCCTCGGCACCCTTTCGGAGCCCCCTCGGGGATTCCAGAGCGCCGTCTTCTGGGGCACTTCTGGGGCTCTTGTCTGGGAGGGGCGCCCATCCGGGCACGCTCGGGCCGTCTTGGGGCCGTCTTCGGCGCCTCTTTGACATCTGGGGGCGTCTTCTGGGGCGTCTGGGGGTCCTCGTGGGGTGCCAGCTGGAGGTTTCTGGGATCATCCTGGAGCGAAGGGCTCAAAATGTCAGCTCGAGTTCCCCCTCGTGGGGCCCTCTTGGGGCCGTCTTGGGGGCCGCTTGGGCCGTCTCGGGGCCCTCTTGGACTACCTGACAGCTCTCTTTTGCGGGCCTCTCGGGCCATCTTGGCGCGATCTGGGGAGCCCTGGGGCAGGCTTGCGGAGCGAGGAGACCCCGAAAAGGCGGGACCGCTGAAACCCTTCAAAACAGGAAGGGGAATCAATGCTTTTGGCCTCTCGGGGCCCCTTGGAGGCCTCTTGGGAACCCTCTTGTGCCGTCTTCTGGCACTGTGGGGCCGTCTGACAGCCGTATTGGCGACCTCTTCGACCGTCTGGGGGCATCTCCGGCCATCTTGGACCGTCTTGCAGGCCTCACAAGCCGTCCTGGTGCCCCCCAGGGCTGGCCAGGGCCTGCTTTGGGCCATTGGATCCCCCGCCCTTCTGGCACGCGGTTCCCCCCGGCGTGGAAATATAGATGTCGCTCGGCTCTAGAAATCGCCTCCCACGTCTCGCAGAGCAGCGACAGGGCGCGTTGTCACCGCCGGCTCTTCTCACACGCGCTGACCCTGGCGCTATAGCTGGCTAGGGCTGACCCGCGGATTGCCGTCCACGCGAGCTGACCAGCATGCACGGGTGGCGAGCGCATCGCACACAGCCTGCGGCTGTATTTCAGCATCTAGCGTGGGCAGGCTTGATCACGACACGGAACGGCATATGACGTGTGGGAGGATCGACCTAATCGCGATGCAGCACGCTGGCGGCAACACGGCACGGCACACCCAGCAGCAAACCTCTGGAAAGACGACCCTGCTCGCGACACGACCCGGGAAGAAGCCGCCGAGCGACTGCAGGGCGAGGAGAAGGAGAAGCGAGGAAAGCGAGACGCGACGACGAGCCGACGGGGAGGAGAGGAGCGCAGAGGGAGGCGGGCGAGGAGCAGAAGCAGAACAGACGCCATCAACATAAACTTTTGGCGCTCCGCTCGGACTTCTTGGATCCGCGGTGGACCGGAGCGCGCCAAGGGCGGCGCCGGAGGCGCCGCTGGAAGGGCCCAGCGCGGATCCAAGATATCCGCGCGGAGCGCCAAGGCGCTTTCTTCTTTAGGAGGAGAGGAGGGAGCAGCGAGGAGCGAGGAGGTGGAGGAGAAGGAGGAGGAGGAGGAGGAGGAGGAGAAGGAGGAGGGGGACCAGGAGGAGGAGGAGGAGGAGGAGGAAAAGGAGGAGAAGGAGAAGGAGGAGGACGAGGAGGAGGAGGAGGAGGAGGAGAGGAGAAGGAGGAGGAGCAGCAAGGAGGGGGAGAGGAGGAGGAGAGGAGGAGGAGGAGGAGGACGGGGAGGAGAAGGAGGAGGAGGAGGATGAGGACGGGGAGGAGGAGGAGGAGGAGGACGAGGAGGAGGAGGAGGAGCAGGAGGAGGCGAAGGTGAAGGAGGAGAAGCAGGAGGAGAGGACGATGAAGAGCATGGCATCCCCGGTCCGGAATCCACCTTTGAACCGCCGGGGAGCGTCGTGACGTCTCTTGCGGCTTCTGGGTGCCGCGTCGAGGGAATGTGGGAGCCTTCTGGGGGCATGCTCCGTCTTGGAGACGTCTTTGGGCCGTCCTGGAAGCCACCCAGGACCACGAAGGACGGCCTTTTGGGGCGTTTGGGGCTACCCTGGAATCGCTGCAGACGTCGGAGCCATCTTACGATGAAAAACTGCAAGCGCCCGAAATGGTCTGCAAAACAGACGGGCCGTCATGGACTTTGACCAGTTTCCACTCCCCGGTGCTCTCTGCGGACCATCTCGGGCCTCTCGACGGCATCTTGGGGCAATCGTGACATACGTTGGGCGCCGTGGGAGACTCGTCCAGAGGCTTCCTGGGTGGGGTCCGAGCAGATGGGGCTGGAGGATTGCGCCGCATCGTCGATACATCGGCGATGCATCGGCGATGCATCGGCGACATCGGCAACGCATCGGCGGCATCGGTTTCATCGCCGATGCATCGCCGATGCATCGGCGATGCGGCGCGATCCCCCTACCCCATCTGCTCCGACCCCTCCTGGGAGACCTAGATCTGTGGAGTGTCGTGAGCTCACCCAGGTCCCTCGTGCAGAACACTGCATCTTGCGAGCCGTTCGGGGCGTGCCTTGGAACACAGTGGCCCAGGAGCTACGGCACTATGCGCTCCATATCTGGCACTCGCCACAGCCAGAACTGTAGTACGGATGGCCTTGGGCATTCACATCGCACTCCACAGATCGCTGAGCAGCTGTCGACAATTGGCTCCAGCGTCGCAGTCAACATGTCGCTGAAAAGCGGCAGGCCTTTCACTGGTCGACTCTCTCACATGTTCTGATCCCAGCGCTGTAGCCAGCCAGGGCGGCTTATGTAGTGGTCTCCGACGCGAGGCTTCCTGCTGTATTGAAAGACGCTGCCAACTTCAACATGAGGATGTCCATCCACGTAATTACAGAGCTTGCCCAGCATATTCCCGCACGCACAACGCTTCGCCAGACACTCGAAAACGCGAAAGGCCGATCCAATGATAGCCTGGGAATCCTGCCGAGGCCTCAGACGACCTCTCATACGCTGTAATGCCCAAGCTGTAAGTGATCCCATCCGTCTCCAGATTGCACTTCCGCATCTCGCTGAGCAGGGACAGCGCATGCCGCCACTGGCCGCATCCCTCACACGCGCAGATCGCAGCAGTGTAGCTGACTACGGCTGACCCGTGGCATTACCCCTCGGTCGGAAAAAGCAGGTAGGAACATGAAGTAGGAAGGCGGTGAAAGTAGTTTGGTCTTCCGCACGCCCCCTGAAGAGGACGGAAGCGGTGAAACCACTCGATCATTTAAGTAGGAAGGCACTTCAAGTAGATTGGAATCCTGGAATCCAAAAATTCTTACTTTCAACGACCGATGGGTACGCCTACGACAGCTGACTCGCACGCAGGGGTGCAAACTCGCCTACACGTGCTGTCGTGCTTGCTTGCGCGCTGTCCTGCGCGCCGGGCCTTTTTACCTTCTGGCCAAGCAGCCTTCTGCCTCCTCCTCCTCTTCTTCTTCCGCCTCCCCCTCTAAGACCAAAATGCGTCAATCTGTTGACTTTTCGGAGGGGCTCGAAAAGTAGAAAAATGGCGTGGCGAATTCTCCGGCGCGAAAATGAAAAAAAAAAAAAAACAAAAAAAAAAGAACAATAGAAACGCTGCAAAGCGCGCCCTGTGGAACGGCAAACTCGAACAATAGAAAAGTAGAACCGTCAAACAGTTTAATTCAGCAACCCCAGAACTCGGAACGTAAACAAAAAATCGAGAAGTAGGTCATAACACTGCATGCTTCACTTTTCCAATTTCTACTTTTCAGCTTTGCCGTTCCGCAGGGCGCACTTTTCAGCTTTCCTAATGTCCTACTCTTCTCATTTTCGCTCCGGAGCTTGAATGTATGCAAGAGTATGCTTCGTATTCGCTCCAGGCCAAGCCACTGACATGACACATGTTGGTCTGAGATGGGCATGGGTATGGGATGAGGGGAGGGATGGGGTACAGTTACAGCAGTCGGAGTCGTGATTAGGGAAAGGAGGAGGCGAATTGTTGTGACAGAGCGAGGGAGGCCAAGTTCTGAGACGGATACGCCGGGAACGGAGTACGCAAGCGTTCATCTCCATGGTTCTGATAGCCTCAAGCTTGTCACTTTTGGAAGTGAGGGTGGACTGTAATTGAGTACCGCCGGGGAGCCCCCTAGTCAAATTACCAAGAACGCGTTTTCCTTCTACTTGTCCGCCTCCTCCTCCTCCCTTCCCACGTCAGACTACTTCGTTCCCTCTCCTGCTTTTCTTCCGCTTCGGTTATAATATTGTATTTCCCCTCTCTCTCTCTGTCTTTTTCCTCTCTCTCTTTCTCTTTCCACCCTTCTCTCTCTCTCTCTCTCATCGTGGAGGCACCAGGGCGCCAAGAGCGCCACGGGGGGGGGGGGGGGGGAACGGACGCGCGCCTGGACGTTGCCAAGGAGGAGAAGGACGCTTTGTGAGGATGAGGAGGAGGCGTGTCAGGAGGATCAAGAGGAGGAAGACGGGAAGGAGGAGGAGGAGGAGGAGGAAATAGATACGCGGGGAACGCTAGCGAAGGGGAGGGAGATGGCGAGGAGGAGGGTGAGGGGAAACAGGAACGCGAGGAGGATCAGGATGAGGACAGGATTCGGACATACATAAGAGGCACGAGAAAACATATACGTGTGGAACGGCACGAATGCCCTCCTGAGGGGCCAGACCTTGGCGCATGCATCTTGGTTTCGGGGCGAGGCGGGTCGCCCGCGATCAGGGGCTGAGGTCCTGGGCTCCGTGCGTTTCTCTGTCGCGTTTCTCTGCCGCGTTTCTCTGTCGCTGCCGCCGCGTTTCTCTGTCGCTGTGGATATTTTCCCCTGTTCCTTTATTGTGGCCAGGCCGCTTTATGCCCGTGCTTCAGCACTGCTGATTTGCTAGTTATGCCTCTGAACAAGAATGGGCAGCTTCAGAAACTCGCTGGGCCAAAGCGACATTTATCGGAGAGCCCCAGGGCTCGTACATTAGCGGGCCTGGGGTTGAGGGGCAGTGATAGGCTCTGCCGCGAGCACAAAGAGCAAGGCGACGAGTTCCGCGCAATTTTGCGCGAACGTGGTGCCGCAGACAAGCAGGATATCGAACGGTCTCTAGGTATGGCTGCATGGAGCGGAGAATGCCCGGCAGATGTTCGTGAAACGTGTGGTTTGAAGTTTCGCTCGCAGAATTTGGCTGACGCGCGGGGGGCTTTGCTCATTGTCGTCTTCGTCGCCCGGCCCATCGACAGGCCTGGCAGCGGCTTCACTTTCGGATCATTTCAGATCGAGTGGTGCGTCGTCTAGCACTTCGTTTCACGCAGGGCCAGAGGCAAGATCCTTCTTGGCGTGCCCCTTGGCGCACGCACCGAGTGGTCGATTGCCGTCAGAGTGGCCTGCGACGGTGGCGCACATCCGAGACACGCACCTGGCGCCGTGCCAACATGATAGGCGATGACTTTTGCGAGTGGTTCACATATTGCTCCCATGCAAGATTTTCTCCCTTCGACACGATATGACGAAAGCCGTGGTGAGCACCATGATTGAATTGGGTCCCAACCGCCAGGGTCTCCAATACCTTGGGTTGTATTACCCGTTGGGCAACAATCGCGAATTCTTACCCTCTTGGAAGAGGGCATCAGGCCTAGAGGGTATTGAATTGGAAGCAGCAGTGGCCACCACTGCTTTTCCCAATTGAATTGGAATTGAAATTTGAAAATGACGAGGAGGAAGAAGAGGAGGAGGATGAGATGCACGAAGAGGAGGAAAAAACGGATACGCTGAAAACGCCAGGGCGAGGAACACGGATGCAATGAAGGAAGAGGGGGAGGGGGAGGGGGAGGGGGAGGAGGAGGAGGAGGAGGAGAAGGAGGAGGAGGAGGAGGAGGAGAACGAGAAGGAGGAGGAGAAGGAAAAGGAGGAGGAGGAACAGGGGGAGCCAGCAGGGAGGAGAAGGAGGAGGAGGAGGAGGAGGAGGAGGAGGAGGAAAAAAACGCTGGGAGCGCCAGCGCGAGGAGGACACGGATGCAATGAAGGAGAACGGGGAGGAGGAGGAGGAGGAGGAGGAGGAGGATGAGGAGGAGGAGGAGGAGGAGGAGGAGGAGGAGGGGGAGGAGGAAGCGGATGCAATGAACGCTCTCTGGGGCCCCTCCGAAAAAGCAAGGGGCACCATAGGCCAGGGCCACCTGGCAACATCTTGATGGCCGGCACGTCGAACTCCTTGCGCGCCCGTCTGGCGCCCCGTGCCGGCGCACCGTCGGCCTCCAGACACGATCGTGGCGACTTTTTCTGGGTGTCGTGGGCCATTCTTCGAGCGGTGTGGCCGATCAGCGAGGTCACATGGAATCTCGTTGTTCTCGAGTTCCGGGCCCCCGCAACGACCGTGAACAAAACGACTCCGGCCTCAAAGCGGATACTGGTGAGGAGGGGGGCGAGGAAGAGCAGGAGGAGGAGGAGGAAAATGAGTGGGGCCTCCAACGTCTTGAAAAATCAAGGCGGAGTTGTTTCGTTGTAGTCGAACTACGAGGTCGCTCGAGGACCGTCAACAAGACGACTCGGGCCGCAAAGCGGATCAAACGGATACACTGGGAACGGGCGGCATTCAACATTTTGTCACCCAGCTCCTGATCACCCTCCTCGCCCCACTACTATTATCCAAGTGGTTTGCCCCATTCCGCCGATCCCCAGGACGAGTGAAAGCTCGCGACGATCGTGGAAGGTACTGGGATCACGCGCTTCTGGAAGCATTGAAGGGCTATTATGATGCCTCTCCTGGGGCCTCTTGGAGGGCTCTTGGGAGCGTATTGTGGGCTTTGGGGGGCTTCTTAGAAGGGCTCTTGGGAGACTCTTGGGACCTCTTGGGGGCGCCTCGGGGGCTCTGAGGGGGCCCTTCTGGCCATTTTGGGAAAGGCTTGAAACATCATTTCGTAGTCCCCCCCTTGGGCCCCGCATGGAGCCCTCTTGGGGCTCTCTTAGGCCGTCTTGGGGGCCCTGTTGGTGGCCTCATTGGCCGTCTTGGGGCGATCTTGGGAGCCCCTTGGGCCGTCTTTGATCGCCGTCCTCGCCCCGCAGCTATTATTCCTGCCAGTCGCGCTATCTGTTGCCATCTTGGCTCAAGGCGCATGGCTCGAGCGCTCCGCCCCCGCGGAAAGCCGGGCAGATGCAGCCGCGCGCCGAGCAGACAGTAGTCTGCGATGTTTTCACAGGCTATCCATGCTTCGCATTCCCAGCGAAACATTGTTTTGCTCGGGAGCGCACGTGGCGATTCACAGCCACTGGGCTCAACATGAAGAGAACGATGGACGGGCACCGAGAGACGTCTTAAATGCCTCGGGGGACTTACTGGGATGCTTCTCGCGGGCCTCCTGCAGGCGTCTTGGGGGCCTCTGGAGAGACTCTTGGAGACTCCAGGTCGCCTTTCTCGAGCTTCTGGGAGCCTCTTCGGGGCGGCTAGGGGCCCTGCTGGCCCTCTCGGCGGCCAGATCACGGGGGGGGGGGAGGGGGGCCTGTAAGACTGGGTTCCTCTCTGGGGCCCCTCGCTGGGGTCCCTTGGACAGTCTCGGGGACCTCTCGGGCCGCCCTGGGGCGCCCGGACGTCTTAGAGCCCTCCGGG